TATCTATTCAATAGGCAATTGCGTTTTAAAAAGATCGAAGTACATGAAAACAAAATATTTTCATACAGAACTTATTTCAAAAGGTCTAGTTTTAATTAAACATTGCAATCGAACGCTTTATTCTTGTTATCATTACATAGTGCTGTATCTTGGTAACAATAACCTAAAGGCATAAACTATTTTCAGAGTATTACTAAGTTCATTTGAATCGACATAATGTACATGGTCTCAACTCAAAAGCGACAAAGACTTTCTTCGTAGATGAAAAGAAACAAAGGACATTTGTCTGTTTAAGTGAAGATTTAGTTATATATTATATGCATTATGATATGAAGAACAAAGAAAGATAGATACCATTTTTTGCTATGTACTTCAAACATTATTAGCAATCGTATTTTTGTAAAATTAACAAAGATGTATTTTCAACTGAAGATTATTCTTTCACTTCAAATCTAGTCTATGATCAAGTTTCTATGAGATTAAAAAAAATGATCTAAAAGACTTCGAGTTAATGATCATGTTTTGATGTTAAACATTTTTGATGCTATTCTTTCAATCTTTGAAAAAACAAGAAGCAATACATTATTTGATCATTTGTTTTATTTTCCTATATATAAAAAAAAATATTTCCAGTAAAAAATGAGATATCTGTGAAAACTAAGGACATTGTCAAAAATGTAGAAAAACATTGAGTTCGAAATGAGTATCATACGGACACCCGTTCTGGGCTGTACTGTTTCTTTTTAAATAGAATATAGCCTTTGTGTGGACACATACGGCCATAACCACCTTAGTGCTAATTCCAATATATAACGCTACTTACATTGACGTATAATTAAAAATCCAAGTAACCATGTGTGTTCTTGTGTACAAAATAGAATATATTCCTGTTGACAAGCAATAGTACAGTCCACAATGGGTGTCCATATGATATTAGTTTCGATCTTTATATTAGTTTACAGCGTTGTTGATGTCTGTGCAGTCTTTACACACACCAGAAAAAATACCAAATTTCATGTAATAGAAATGACAAGCTCTATGTGACGAATTTCTATTCTTAAATTATTAACAGATTAATTTAAATACCTATTTTTATTCCTTCAATAGTACCTGTATATTATGAGGGATCTGCATCTATAACAAAAGAAAAAAAAACAGATTAGCTACTCAACCTAGAAATGGTCCTCTTTTCATTGGAGGTACGTCTCTACATTTTAATGCTTTACATGATCTTCAACATCCATATATTAAATAAGTTTTAGACCATTTAGATCATGATGGTTTTTGAATAATTCTACTTGCTAATAACCACTATCTAGAACGTTTTGTTACCAGTAGATGGATCGAATACATATGGATGTAACCAATATTTCAACCAGATAAGCAAAAATAATAACAATGTCATAGAACATTTCTCGAAATGGATGCAGCAATAAATAATCAAATTAGTCATCGATATTGATCATTGAAATCAGTTAAAACATTATTATCATAAACATGAAGAATATCTTTTATCATGATGTTTTCATTTCAGTTTCTTTTCATGAGAGTTTTTCTTTTCATCTATTATGGAAATAAAATCGATCACATAAATATATATTTTAGTGATGTTAAATGATCATATTATTCATTATACCTTGATATAAAGAAAGAACAACCAGCTGTATTACAAGAATATCACGGGTGTGAGAATTTTGATTTGAAAATAATGAGAAATATCATAATATAGAAATGATAAAAGAATGAAAGAAAAAAGAAACAGGCATTTGACATGATTATATATATATATATATGTGCGATCATAATCGATTCATTATTTATACAAGTCAAACTTATAAAAACAGTTCATTTATAATATAAATAAAAATGAATATGATTCATAAAAAACAATACTTTATTTTATATGTTTGCTTTTTTTTAATTCATTCATATTTATCATTATGTATATCATCATCAAAACAATGTGGATGTTCACATATAAAACCTATTTTTTCTGAATCAAAAATTGTTGGTGGTTATACAGCTCGAAATCATTCATGGCCATGGATTGGTAAGTATTAATATTTAATTATCTATTTAATATCTTTATGAAATAAAATAGTAAGTCTTCGTCGATCAAAAACTAATGAATTATCAACAAATCCAGGTTCTCTTTTTTGTGGTGGAACTTTAATTAATAATAAATATGTATTAACAGCTGCTCATTGTTTTAATAATGTTAGATTATCACAACTTTCAAATTATTTTGTTGTTATTGGTGTTCTATATAATAATGATACAAATCCTATTCGATTTAAAATCAAATCTGTTATTTTACATAATCAATTTAATCAAGAAACTTATGAAAATGATATTGCTCTATTAGAATTAACTAATAATGTTGATTTCAATGATTCAAATATTGG